ARKAWGGTRGCWTATTAGTRTTTCTACTTGAGTTRTGATRCATTTTATCTCTTAAGTTTTGGCTTTTTAAAAATCTTTTCCCTGGGTCTGTAGATCTAAAAAAATAATGGATTATTCCTTAATTATTACATTACTTTTTATAAACCTTTCTTAGCATTTGTAGTAATACCATCTAGTAGTAATAGTGGACATTTTACAGAATAAGGCATACTCTGAATTTTTTATTTTAAAGCAAAAAAACCCCTTATTTTGAAACTTGCAGAAGGTTGTACAAACGTTATCCTTACTTTGTACAGGTTTCATGCAGTCGTTACTCTAGGTATGGTTCTGTCATAAATATGCTTTCACTTGACTTTTCTTGCTGTCTACAAAAAAACATATTTTTATTGTATTTTTTTAAAAAAAAAGTCAAATATGTTGCTTCTGACTGATCTATGATCCCAACTGGAGACCATATAGCTAACTTAGTTTTTAAAATGTCTTGTGAGTTCTTTGGACTTACAGCAATTTACAGAGATTGAAATTTTGCTCTGTAGGCTTGACTTCATTTCATGATGACTTTTCTTTAAGTACTATCAGGAAGATCTCTAAGCTATGCCAAACTCTAGGTGTAAATATGAGCATTTAAAAAAAATCCCCTTCATTCTTGTCCTTTTAGGTGGATTGTGGTAGCAATTAAGAGATGGGATTATTTTGCTTCTTCTGTCAATAACAGAGATCAAGGGGGAAAGAAACAGTGTTTAATGTCTTTGTTTAGATAGCCTGAAGTTTTAATTACATATAAAAACTACTGGGAGTAGGGAAGAGGTTTTCAGGGAGGTGTCAACTTGGCAGGTGGGAAAATGCTGTCAAGCTGAAAACATGTGTTTTATTTCTCACATAGAGCTCTTAGACTCTTACCAAAAAACTAAATTACATACCAACATTTCCATAGCAGTGTCTTGTAGTTGCAATAGGACACTCAGTGTCATGCTGGGATGTTTCTCCTCTTGGATGAACTGGCATCTTGTCTTCACCTTTTTCAGTAGAAAAACCTGGTGAGATCCCAGCATGTAAACTACCTGTAACTTAACAAATACCTGTGATTATTTAATGTAGAAAATTGGCGGTATTCAGCTACTATTTGATTGTACAAATTAACACAGATAACCTGCTGTATCCTCCATTGTGATTGGCCTGAGTAGTGCAAATAAGGAAAACTGCTTGAACATTAGCAGCTGCAAATGCAAGATTCCACACTCAACTCAGCCAAATGTATTTTGTAATGAGTGTGATTAGAATTGACAACTATTTTGCATGTTGTAACTAGAATGTCGCAAGTTTTTGGCCATATATATGGGAAACTCACGTAAAGGTGAAGAAACTAATTACTTGTGAAGTAATCCTGTGATGAATAGGCACTGCAGATAGGGGCATGYWKAKA